GCCTTGTGCTCCTCAAGGTCCGATATGGGCACGACGTCGAATTCCAGATCATCCACTGACAACTCATTTGCTCTATTTTTTCCACTCGCTTCATAAGCAGGCGACTGTTGGGCTTCACATCGCCATCGCCCTTGATCGAGGCCAGCTGTAACATGCCTATTATGGGCCGCCGTCAAATCCATCGGGGGGGATAGCGTCGTTAGTTGGCTTGATAGACCAACACTGGAACAATTTCTTTGAGATCAACAAACCGGTACGGCGAATCACAGTGCCCTCTTCAATACAGCAGCAGCTTCATCGAGGTGTTGGGATATGTCATGTTGGCGCAAATACTCGTTCGCAAAAAGGCACACTTGCTTCTCCCATTCTCCTGCTGCAATGTTTTGGAGAACACCATAATCATCAAAAGCGAATCGAAAGTACAGACCGTCCGCTTGGAGTCTCTTGAGCACCATGGCCGCTTTCGCAGTCAAATACTTATGCGCATCTCCAATCGCCTCAACGGGAGCATAGGCATCCGCGAGACTACCCTTCGCCGCGTCTGTGAATGGCGCGCCGTCTGTTCCAATGCAAACAAGACAGGCAATCTCACGCTCGGGGAAGAGGCGGACTGCCTCGTCCAAGATGTGATTGATCAGATCAGCCTCATGGTGGCCCGTTTTGGTGGGCTGCTGGGCAATTGACCGGACGGCCCTAGCAAGAAGTAAGCCGAAGATTCGGCCAAGAGGGAGGGAGTGGTTGTTTATTATTGAATTGCATACTTACATATTGATATGACAATTACCCTTTCCGCTCGGCAACCTTTGACGACCTCGACTGCAAGTTCTCTCTAGGAGCATCCCTACGCTCTCTTCCAGTTTCCGGGGGTCGAATTTGGTCTTTTCTGAGTCTCTCGGAAAGGAAACGCTTTCGGCCACAATACCTGCATATGCCTTTTTAGCTTCCGAAACCGTTTGGCCCAAATGGCCAAGCTGTACGGCACTAAAACTGTGGCATTCGGCTGGATAAGCTAGGGGACAAACGTTGGGAACAATATACGGGATGTCCTTACTCTCCTCCGGTTGGCGAACCCACCACAAAGTCGAATACATGCGTTGGCAGAGGATTACCGTAGGGTTCGATGTCACATGTAATGCGGTTCATAAGTTTGTCCAGGACTACGAGATCTGCGAAGGCCCAGATGCCACGACTGACTGCGGGATGGTGAGCGGGGCGATGCAGAGCGGAAGTTTGTTGGATTGTAAATACGTAGGGCAAGCAAACCCATTGGTTTGCCCTCTTTCGTCATCTTTCATGGCCGCAACTTTGTACGTTATCAGTTGGCGCTCTCACGTTTATTACGTGGGTAGGTGATGGGCTCTCACAAAGCCGCGACGGACGGGATGAAAGGAGGTACTGGAGGCAATGGAGAGTAAAATGTCTGTGACTGACTATGGCGGATGCAATGAGAGACAGCCACAAACGGGGACAAACATAGCCCCGCACACAACTGGCTTGTACAGTGGCTGGTGTGCCCAGGGGACAGCGTTGGTCGCAGTTGAAGAAGATGACATAGACAAGACCACTGTGACATACAGCGTCAGGATAGCGCCAGTCATACTTGTTACACTTTGGCAACGAAGGAGATACTGCCCCAATGTGCTGCATGTATCCGTTACCGTATCCTTAGTTACACGATGATTCATTTTCCAAATAATTCTTCGCTTGGGCACGATTCCAGAAAGTAACAATAGTCTCGCAAAAATTCGTTACGCCTCAGGTCAATCCTACCATCATAGTGTCGGATAATGTCATAGTTATTCGGCATCGTGGCATTGCGCTGGAGGATGACAGCCTGATCTTGTATTGTTGCACCAAAGGAAGCATCTCCGTAAAAGACAACTTTCAATGATTTCAAGCCTTTTGGACCAAAGGCCCAGTCGGCAAAGTGTCGAAAATCTTCCGATAGTGGTGGCCTACGGCCGAAATGATACATTATCTCGTCATCGGACGAAAAGATTGCGTACAGCGCGGGAACCGCTTTCATGGTAAGCCAAGAAAGACTGCGGATGTGGATGACCTTGATGGGAGTAGAAATTAATGGTCGCAGTGCAATTTCTGCAAACACGTTCAAGTTAGCCTAACCCAGCTTGTTGCCCGCATGGTTAATGGGCGATTTCGCTCCCCTACTTACAAAACAGTGCGGTGAGCAAGAGAGGCCGAGACAGTCAAGGTTAAGACCCGCCAGAGGCCAGAGGGTGGGCCGGATTTTGGGCATTCAGCTCAAAATCCGGTCCGATATCGTACTAGCATAACCCCAATGAGCTGTCTTCGAGATAGCCAGTCATTGTCGGACCATATCCAGGAATGC